CATCATCTCGAGCTTCTATACTGCTGTTACGAACTAGGAGGTTGAGTGCAGACGGGAGGTGAAAACAACGTCTTGGCGATGCCTTTGAGCCGCTTGGCCTTTCAAATCGAACTTGAATTTGGCTTGCGCCTATTGCCCGTCGCCTAGAAGTTGGCGTTTCTGGAACAGGGGTATTCTAGAGCTGATGGTAGTGAATGTATAAAGGGGTTTGCGAGCTCCTGGGGCAGGAGGTGCTTGTTTGCAGGATGCTTTGGAAAGGCAGAAATAACCTGGATTTTTTGCAGGACCTTCAGTGAAGAGGAGTTGCCCGCACATTACGCTCTGAGACACGGTGACGCAATGCAATGGTTCTTGCAGTAATGGAGCGCCTTGGTTTATTGGTGAAGTACTGAATCTCTCCACAGCCTTCAAGAGCGAGGCTTAAAGGTGGAGATCTGATCCGTCACCATAACGCTGCGGTAATTTAATTGTTGCTGGTAGCGTGGTCTCTGTGCAATACCTAGTTGTGAACAATCTTCTTTGACGAGTGCGAGGCAACAAAGTTTATGTTTAGTTTTGAAATAAAACTTTACCTACTTCCATTGTGTAGGGGTTACTCCTCTAACTGGTTAATTTTATAAATGCCTTAGTAAATCGCTGGATAAGAAGTTACATACTTGTAGCTTTAAAAAGGTAAATATTGGTAAAAGTTACACAAGGCTCTAGCTTTTTGTACTACTGCTGTTTTTGAAAGGAGGCTACTTACTTAAAAGGATTGGTTGTTTGGCGTAATACGTAAACTCCGTCCGCGTTTAACCCAGAGGAACAAACTCTGCTTCAGGTTGGCCCAGCGCAGAGTATCTGGCTCCTTGTCGATGTCTGCTCTAGTGCCGTGAAGCTGGCTTCAGCGTTCTGGATGCATTTGTAATAGGCTTTACTTGTAAACTTGTAAATTTACTTGCAATTTGACTATTGCATACCAAAAATGCTATGTTTTAGTTCTGCCCCCCCTTGCAGCTTGTTCAAAATAGAAGAATCCATACCTGGAAGTACTCTTGCAATACTGCAGGCTAAGGTGGAGGTGCTGCTTGCTAAACCAGCAGAAAACGTCTGCCCTTTGGGGCCGAGTTGGGTGTTTTTGTCATCTCAGTGAGCCAGCGGCGCCTGGCGTGGTCGGGCAAGGGCCGGAGTTGGCACAAAGGAGGTGCTACCATTGCTGTGGCCAGCTGAGGTCTCCACTTGTTGGTTTGCAAGTGTTGCCTAGTAATGGGTTTTAGATAAATCATGGGAAGGTGAAAACTCTGGCTTTGGTGGAGCAGGACACCTGGGTTTGATTTCAAATCCTGCTGCTCATGACTTAGAGGACTAAGTACTTGTTTACTCCATCCTTTTGCCCTTAGTAAATTATGGGGTTCTTCCTGAGAGCTTGTAAATATTCAGCACCTGAATAATGACAGGTTTTTACCTCAAAACCTGTGCCGTTAAGTACAGGCCCAAGAGAAGGTAGCGTCTGGGCTTGGGTGGGCTCTGGCTGACTCCACGTTTGTCTGTGGGAAGCGGGTGGGTTTGCCGTTTCCCCTGGAGCAGGTAAGAAAGGCTTTGCCATGAGGAATGGCAGTATGTGGACTGCAAGTTCTCTTTTTGTTGAAGAAATAAAAGATCTGGAGGAGCTGCGTGTGTTACACGTGCTTTTTGGACGCTGTTTTGTTGCGAATTACGTAGTTTATGCCTGGAGAAGAAAGGTGGGTTTTGGTGGAGTTATTCTGATTCCTAGGTAAGAATTTGTATTCCGACTGACTTTATTTTCTTCGTGCACCTTCTGTCCTATCTTTGGCTGGATTTTATCACAGTTCACATTACGTTCAGAACAATACTTCTGGGCAAAGTTATGGTGCTGAACAAGGGCGTTTTGTTCTCTTTATTGACCCAACTTTAACATATTCAAGTACTTAAGTGTTTTTTCTCGGTATGGATCTGTTTTTAATAAGTCAGCATGCAGAATGCCAGGGTTGGCAGGGAAATGAATGCAGTTATTTTGCAAAATTGTCTCTCTCTCGTTTGAGAGGCAGCCTGTACCTATTCGGATTTTTCAGCAAGTGTTGGAAGCTGGGGTAGCAAAGGTAGGCTGTGTTGGCTCTGTCAATTCAGGACGTGCCCTACCTGAGCAGAGCGAGAGCTGGACAATCCCTGACCCTTTTTTGTTCCAGAAATCCCTTCTTAAAACTGGAAGGTAATGGGGTAAGTGTTAAACATGAGAGGTGCTGGTGGAAGCGAGAGACTCCGAGAATACCAAAGGCAGGAGAACTTACAATGTAAAAACTGAATATATTTCCAAATTTAGACAGGGCCGAAGGGGTAGAGGATGTCTTAGTAATTCAAATACAATTAATGTTATGTTGATGCTTTAGTTTGAAGTATCTGAAGCCTGAAGAAGGTTGCTTGGGGCTTATTAATAATATTGCCACGTTCTGCCTATGCAGTCTCTTCTGTTGTTCACCCTGTGTATGCCGTATTTCTGATTAGAAGTTGTAGTCGAAATTTGTACAGACGGGAACTCAAATGAAAACCTCTAAAAGCCAATGTGTTTCATATCCAGAATTAAAAATGTCACATTGCTATGTAACTGGATCTAGATCTCTCACGAATACTGTGCTCAGCCGTTCTGGGAGGATGCTTCGAACGCGTGGTGCTCCCCAGCTGATCACGCTCCTCGTGTGGGTTCTGCAAGCTGATCTTATTCATGGTGTTTAAAAAAAAAAAAAGGGGGGGGTTGCATTTTGTTGGAATACTTGGTTTGAGAGGTCCTGTTAACCTCTAAGGTAGATGTAGAAAGATGATGGGTAGGTAAGGATAGTGGTAGGTAAACTGCAAAATGAGGGAGAGCGTTTAACATGGGATGCACTAATTTTTTTTGGCCTCCTTCGTTAATAACATTACAGACTTTTCCAACTTTTCACTCACGATAATGCCATCTCTGACTCTTCATTTGGTGGAAGCTGATTACTGTTAAATTTGGTAGCTTTCTCCAGTTTTGCCTCTGAAAGAACATATGGGAGAAATGTATTAAATTTAAAAAGAAAAAACCTTGGGGGAGGAGGTGGCAGAGGTAAGCAGGTGTACTCAGAAACAGCTTGGCACTATCTATTTCAGGGATGCTCCTGTAAAAGTGTTGGCATGCTTAATGGCAAGAAAGAAAAGGCCTCTGCATTTCAGCATTTGCGAGAAGGCCAAGTTTCAGTACTAACAAACGGCTTAGATAAAAGGAAAGTAGCTCTGCTAGCTAATAGATGACTGTCATCCAGAGTTTGTGTGCTGTGTCTCGCTTTCAAGCTAACTTCATAGAATATTGTATTAATCGCATCTTGCTGGATTACAGCGCGTGCTGCTGCACCCCTCTTAGCTTGGGAACTCGCTTCCAATTTTTAATGGCAAACCCTGAGCAGGTTTTCTGTTCTTGGAGGTAAACCTTGCCGCAGCAAAGCTTCCCCGCCGGCGCAGGAAGCCGCGGGCAGTTCGTGGCAGGCCCTGAGCGTGGCAGTGTGAGGCTTGTCCCCGGACAGCTTTCTCCCAGCACAGCCGTTCGTGTGCCGTTGTCTCCCGGACTTTGCCACAAGTTTGTATCTCGAGGCAACTGCATTTGTGGAGCTGGGACTGCGGCCAGATGCTGTAAATGTTTATACAATAACAGCAAATGAAAATCCCTTTGCGTTCTGCACAGCTTCCAGATGCCTGTGCATTGCGGGGATTTTTTTCTGTGGCGTGTGTGTTTAGATTCCACTTTTCCCTTTGGAGATGTTTATCTTGGGTTGAAAGACCAACTTGATGCGTCTCTTCTGGCGTTGGCGTTTTTGTGTCAACGTGAGCTGCGGACAAAGCGTGAGGTGTGTGTGCATGGGGAGGCTGAGCACTAACGATGCTGGCCTGTGCCCGTCGGAGCTCGGAGAAGAGCTGTGCCTATGTATCCTCGCAGAAGTATTAGCTAATTTTTTGTATTGATGCATGTTGTAATTCAGCCAGCCAAATCGAGGTTATGAAGCAGTCCTATCCTAAAACGTATGCTTGAAAGATGCTTAACGTTGCTTATAGACTGTGCAGCCATAAATGAGCTAGCTTTGCGCTAGCCAAGAGGGATATTTGGGATGGCATGGTCATCAGATGTCGAATGTTAACCCAGGGGCTGCCCAGTCCTTAGCTGCCTGTGGTACTAAAAGTCTGCAATGCTTTTAACATGGCTAAAAGCATCCCAGCTGACTTCAGCGCAGTGGTGTGTGCTGCTGTCGTGCCTCCGGCCGGGGGTACGGATCTGGCTGTGGTGGGATAGGCTGTAGGTGTCTGGTTTTCTCCATGCCTGAGTACTGAAGGCTTGCTAAACTGTGCTGCTGCAGGTCACGGCAACAGGCAGGTTTCGGGTACTGCGGTCCCTGCTCCAGTTGCGGTGGTTGCCTGCTGAGGTCCCGTCAGACACCAAATGCTGGTTGCGGGCTCATGTGAGTCAGCGACCAAGGGCCATAATACAGAAAAACTTCCATTAGCAGCCCTGTGCTGTGTCCCACGTTTGATACC